CAGGTTGCTAAACAGACAAATCCGAACATCTCTCAGTAGAGATTTGCTTTTATAAACGCCCTTCATATAAGTTATAAGTGATTAACAGAAGGAAATGCAGAGAAACCATCCCGATAATAGTTTCTGTTTTCGGCTCCAATTTCCCTCTCGGTCTGGTGGGTTGCGGGGGGGGGTGGTGCGGGTGTGGGTCGTGGCCGGAGTGTCTTGCCTTGTTTGTGTCGTGGGTTTGTTTGTTTTGGGAGTTTGTGTCTCTTTTTTTCTTTTTTTTCTTGTGGTGTGGTATGTTGGTGTTTGTTTTCTTCAGTTGATGGGGAGTAAGGTAAGTGGCGCAAGCAAATGCCATGAGTGGTTTGTCATGGGGAAAGCAATGGGGGAGGAGGAAGAAGAGAAAGATTAGACATGTATATTGCATGTTGTGAGTATGCAGAGTTGTGTGATGGTGTGTTCTTCACGTAAGGCAATACAGGATAATTGGTCTGTCCCGTTGTTTGGTGTTTTACCCTCTACAATTCGTTCGACAATGTGGGGGTGATGAGGGGGAGGAACGGCGGGAGAGAGAGGGAGGACGAGAAGCAGAGGGGAGAGAGGAGCGGCGGGGAGGGAGAGAGGAGGGAGAGGAGGGGTGAGGAGAGGGTGGGAGGGGGAGAGAGAGTCGAGAGCTGGGAGAAGAGGAGGAGGAGAGAGGAGAGGGAAGGGAGAGGAGGGGAGGAGAGAGGAGAGGGAGAGGAGAGGAGAGGAGGATGGAGGGAGGGGAGAGCGAGGAGGAGAGGAGGAGAGGAAGAGGAGAGAGAGGAGAGTAGGAGGGGCTTCTCTCTTTCTCTCTCTTCTGCTCTCTCGATTTTCTTGCTCTCTTCTTCGCTCTGTCTCTCTCTCCTTCTTCTCTCTTCTTCTATGCCTCTCTTTCTTCTTCTCTGTTATTCTTTCGTACTCTTTACCAGTGAGGTCCCATTCCTGGACTATCAACAGTCAATGACAAGACATAAAAACACGTCAACCCCTAACTTCCAGCGAGATCTGTGGTAAAGCCCTACGACTAGCTTGTTCTCGACATGTTGTTTCAGTTAGCTGAAGGTGCATCGAAGCTCTCGATAAGTAACATCCGCCATGGTAAATACAAGGCTCTCAAACACTGTCCCTGGTCCGTTTCCTTTGGTACCGGGGAGCTGTCAGAGAGTTCATGCAGGTTAGCAGAATGTTGGTTATATGGTAAAACGTACAACAAGTGCTTATGGTTAGGATGAAATTAATATTGTTCTCATTCATGGTACGCAATTTTAGGTGGAACACAAATAGGTTTATATTGGACTATTTGTTGAGATTTAGCCGAATTTGTTCATAAAATCTTTTTCGCAAGTTTTTCTTGTTAATAGAGAGGTTTTAAGTTCCGTTGTTCTACATTTAATTTTATGGTGTATTGTTATTTTTGCAATGTTTTATTAGGTTGAACACAGTGTGGTGGTGAGTTCTGGATCAGTTTGACATTCTGGGAAGATCTGATTCAACAGCTCCTGTTGGACTGACCATATAAGACTGCTATGGCCCTTCTGCCAGTTGTGTCTATCCATCATGTACAGGGTGAGATGGGAGAAGGAGAGGGAGGGGTGGAGGGGAGGCAGAGGGTAGAGGAAGGTGGATTTAGGGTGGCTGTCGATTAGTTGTCAAAAAAAGCATATTGTTGTGTGTGGGCTACAATACATACCTACATGCTACGAACCGAAGTCGCCTACTAAGAGAATTTCATGCTTAGTGGGATAGTGTGATTATTCCCTGTCTCGCTCCCATTTATGGAGATTAACGCATGGTGTGTTCTATCAGCTACATCTGCCACAGCATTTGCAATCACCATCTCAATTTGTGAGGTAAGCTCGACTTCTGGAAGTCGGCAATCTTTACACTCCGTCCGTGCAGGTGCCCGAGCTTGTTCGAATTCTTACGCCGAAGCTCGAATTTCTGACGCGAAGGGATAAGGAGCCCTCACACCCAAGACGGGCTCGCAGAGGTCACCGGTGGGCGAACAGACCAGAGGACAATGACAGCTAAGCTAAGGGGTTAAATACAATTTATCCGCATGCAGTGATATATCGACGTAGGTTTGTGAGATTTTTATAATGTTAACCGGGGCAAACTAAAATTTGTGAAAAGTTTTGAAAAGATACAGTAGACACGGTTTATTATGATAATACATATCTCTAATTTCAGTTGATTTTGGGCCGATCCTATGGACGGAGATTTGGACGAGCGATGATAACTCTCGCGAGTCCCAACGGGTACGATCGTCGGATCAGTTCTGCTCTGCGTGGCCATGAGATCGATGATGCTATCTCCGACAAGGCATTTGAGGTGGGTGTTGGCTTTAATTGGCTATTGTTAAGCAACAATTACTTACGTAATCTACACATACAAAATATTTACTTTTGGCGGGGACCAAGTGCGATGTGTACTGTGAATGTATTGTCGAAAAGCATAAAGTGATTTTGATAAATAGTATGTGATGTAATAATGGAGTATTTTTTAATCTTATTTGAGAAGGAGTATGAGGCGAGGGTAGTTTCTGATGTTGTGTTGTCGTGTTGCAGGGGTATTTTTGTGTGTTTCGTTTTGTTTTTTTTTTTTGTTGTCCTGATTTGGGAGTGTTGCCTGCCCAACGCCGAGCCAGCGTGGTGATCTGCCCAGGAAGGCCTATTGCACCATCTTGCAAACAGGTTTGAGAAACCAGTTTAAAATTTTCGTACTTTTAGCAAGTGTGGGGGAAGGACTGAGGTCCAACCAGCAATCCTGAATTATCCTTGACTTCATAGGCTGGATGTGTGCAGTGAAATGAAAGAATTCGGCGTGATGTGGCCGAAATGTGTTTGTACTTTTAGCAAGTTAAGTGAGGGTAAGGACAGGCCAACGAAACCATCTCTGAATGAACATCTGACTTATAGCTGATGGTTGCCGTGAAAAGAGGTTAGAGGTGGCCTAAATTTGTTTGGTTTACTTTTAGCAATCACAAGTGGAGGGGAAGGACAGGCCATATCTAACCATCTTCTAAATACCTTGACTATAGCTTGGATGTGGTCTAGTGGAAATGAAATAGTGGGCCATAATTGTTGCGTACTTTTTAGCAACAAGTGGGGGGTAAGGATGCAGTGTCCCTTCCAACTTTATCCTGAATACCTTGACTTAGCTGAGTGGTTGCAGTGACATAATTCTTCGGGATGATTGGATCGACATTCTCTCTCCCCGACAGCTGAATTAAAAATGGCGCTACTTCTCACGGAGTGGCCATACATAAAACAATACCTAACCCATACAAGAAGAGGAATGTCAGTCCAAAAACAGTAATTCTGTTTGTCAGAGGAATCCGCCAAGTGAGAATACCAGTTTTCGAATTTTACGTCCGGTGTAAGTTTTTCAAAAGACTCCAATTTTTTAGATAATTCTTCTTTTAGCAATAGTTTCAGATGAGGAGCGCGGAGGTTTGGTGTGTTTTTGTTTTTGTTTAAAAGAGGATTGTTGTTGGATTTCATAAGCCGGTTCCTGAAATGTGTGGAATTGGATCTTGAATTTCGAGTGTTCAAAGCAGGAAAAAAAAAAAATTCAGGGGGCAGATTGAAGGTGTAGAACTGACGTGTATCTGAATACTTTTTCTATAACATTCGTCAATATAAACGTATAGCTGCATAATTATTGTGAAAAATCGAAACGTGCAAACTCAAGATGATAGGTCATAAGGCAGGACAACCACTATACCATACGTTATCTACTGTATCTGTCGACTATAGTCTATCATATGTACGTATATACATGTAAATTCTCTCTCACTCTCTACAGACAAGATACAAATTCACATGGACTAGACCATCATAGCGTCAAGCTTACAAAACTAGGGTGGGGACACACAATAACTTAACTGAAACATGAAAATCTCAAATGTATGGGCATAATGCGGACAAACTGGTCTCCCATTACTGTACTAGTTATTACTTAGATGATCAAACTATACTCTCTCACTCTCTACAGACATGATACAAATTCACATGGACTCTCTAAAAGGTTTGAGAGAAGAACTCAAACGACGACCGCTGTCTAAGGTACACATACATACGTACACACTGTACCGTACTTTTGATAGCTTTGTTAGCTAGTACAAATAAAGTTAACATACAGTAGAAGTTAAAAAAACGTTTGCGTGTGTTCTTTTTTCTCTCGTACGTAACTTCTGTACAGATCAAGGCCAAGGCAATAAAGCCGCCATTACTTGAAGGCGAGACTATGATAAGCTACGGAATACACTGCTATCTGCTGATGGATGGGCGAGAGAACGGACTGCTGGTTCCAGCTGACGGGCACGTCTTTGTAACTTCGTACAGAGTCATCTACATCGGTACACCATGCAACCTCAAGGTACCTGTAGATATAGGTTATCTCTACTTTATCCAATTACTACATATGAAATCATCTCATTCTGACAGTTCGCTAATTTCTTCATGCAACCCTCAAGGTACCTGTAGATATAGGTTATCTCTACTTTATCAACTACGTATGAAATATCTCATCTGACAATCGCTAATTTTTGTACATACATACATATGTATGTATGTGTATGTTGCTCACGGTGATTTTGCAGCTCCGAATGTGATAGTGACTCGTAGTTTCCCCGTGGCAACTATCTTCAGGAATCAAACGTCTCCCGCCCACACCCATCACCCAGCTGGCTACCATGACAACCATGCGGTCTACAGATCAGAACCGTCACTGCTGAGGTATTATGATTGTAGGCCTAGGAGGTTGAATTGCATGCAAGAACTGTTCTTGGGGAAACAAAAGTGTCCTTATTAGAGAGGTGTCCTCATTTCAGGAGTGTCCTTAGAGAGGGGTTCCGCTGTATTTTTTCCACACAAACAATATTAGTTGTTATTTTTCATCGCTCTCGTTTCGACAGCTCCTTCGAATCGGATTTGACGATGATACGAACCCTCAAGACGTCAAACTGCTCATCCAGCTAATCGTTGACCTCTGCAACCCCACTAAGATTACGAGGGGTCTAAAATCTGCCCCACCCACCTCCCCCTCGATCAGCGACAGCTGTGGGTTCAGTTCGGGAGGAGTCTCATCTTCTTCCCTGACAGCCAGTCAGCTCATCTCCAGCACAACTCGCATCAAGAACACCAAGAACAACAACAGAGGTAAAAGTTCAAATAAAAGTTATTCTTCGGGTTTACCCATACCAATTTTTTTGCTCCATTCAAAAAAGTTCCTGCAAAAAATTTCTTTCAGAAAAACTAATTTCCTGTTTTGCAAAATATGGTCTACGTTTATGTACGTAGGTTTTGAGCAATCCAACATTCTGAGTACGTCGGACACACTGACACGAGTCAAGCAGATCTCGGATCTGTCCCGCAGTCCGTGCTGCCAGGAGTATGAGAGAATGGGACTCGGGAGTCTGAATTTCTCCGCCAGTAACAGAGGACCGTGGAAGATCACCGCTCTAAACATGACCTACGCCGTTTGTAGCAGGTATATACATTATGTTGACCCACAGTACGCATCAAAAAACTTCCCATGTATAGGCCTGTGCAATGGAACGGGCGTTTTTGTTCGACTCACCCCGCACCCTGACCTTTTTCACTCTTTGTTTCTCTCGTCATAGTTACCCAGCTGTCGTGGTGGTACCGGAAAGTACGTCAGACGAAACCCTCATATCAGTCTCGTCCCAATTCCAGCATAACCGGTTTCCCGTCGTCACGTGGAAGAGCCCTAGCAACCAGGCTGTCCTTCTTCGCTCCGGTTGCTTCGTTCCCAGCGCGACCCCCCAGAAATTCGGCCCCCTGGGAAATTTACCTACCGCGGTTCTCCCGGGGAAGAATAAACTCATCGGTGTCGCAGGGAGATTTGCCGGCGCGGCGAACAAGGAGAAAGTGACGCACCCGCAAGCCAATGGAGGGACGGGTGTGTTCAACATGGACGTGGAAGGATATATGTTAGATATTCTACACCTTAGTCAGAGCTATCGCAGAAAGAGGAGAAAGACTAATTTTCTGAGCGAGATATCGAGGGCACCGGAGACGATGCATTTCGATCCACCGGAGCGGACTCCGGGGAAACACGGTTGGCGACGGCAGGCGAGCAAGATGGGGGCACGAACGAAAAGCTGGGAATCGGACGATGTCGATTTCAGTCCGAGGCGTCGGCATTTGCGAAACGGGAACTCGAGCGAGCGATCGCTGACGCCCGAACCGCAACTCGACCGAATGCTCTCCAGCCCCGAGCCCGTCGGCAAGGGGCAGAAACGACGATTCACGATCTCGAACGTGATGCACAAAGTCAGGAGTCCGCACATCGCGCGCAGAAAGCGCTACAAGGTGGCGAAGAGTTCCGGAGACGTAGTGATAGAGAATGCAGTGTCACAGTCGCATGGAGAAAGGGAAGAAGATGAAGGGATAAAGATGAAGCCTATATCAAGAGGTGGGGAGGAAGGGAAAGCAGTATTAGACGAGGCAAGAGAACATGAGAATCCAGAAGACAGAGGGAGTAAGGAAGAGGGGGAGCAGGGGAAGAGAGATGAGATCGTGAGTGACCAGCGAAGGAGAGAAGCTTCGGTTCTCACTAGTAGCGGACAGGAGAGTATTGATCTCGAACAAGCCATTCGCGACAGAGGTCTCGAGGACCTCGGAGCCATGTCACCAACACAGGGCATACCAAAACTGCTCTCGCTGAAGAGAGGGTCTTCGACCCCTGACCTCCACAAAGGGGGTGTGGCCAGGGGAGGCGGTGTTGCCGTGGACGACGTAGAGGGAATCGATCTGGGGGATATAGAAATGAGAGAGAAGCGGGAGACTTCGATTTCTCCCGAGTCGGGCAAGGACGAGGAAGAGGAAGAAAGGAGAAAAAGTGCGATTGATTGGGAGAGGGTCGGAGGAGAAGCCGTTCCCGGTGAGACCACACCCACTGACCTGGAATCAAGGCCGAGCACCTCTACACCGGATCTCCAGTCCGGTTCCGGTTCTAGGCTCGACATGGACGGATCTTCCGAGGTGTGGGCATCTCCTCAGAAACATGAGGAACCTGGGGGGCAGGTATCCAGTGCATTCTTTCATTAACCTTTTTATGGCAAGCTTTAACTCGCCATAGTTTAATCCTTTCATCATAATAATTTGAATACCTACTGTAAGTGGGTGCATGAGTAAAATTTTACGGCAAGTTACTCATATTTTTAACCTTTTACCCACCATGTAGTCCTTGCTTTTATTAATTGGAAAAATACTTACATATAATTATGTATAATAATTATTATGGGTGCATAATTATGATGTTACGACTTTCTACTTTTCGATATCTCTCCTGCCAGTTTTGGGGTCTGAATTCCCCCGATTTCGAAGGGTCCCCTGCAACATTCTCCATGCTGCCAACGAACCCCCGAGATTGGATAACGGTCGACGCCCTCCCCGCCCAATTACACCACTGGAGTGACTCCGCCCTTTACATCATCGGTGACAAGCAGGCTCTGAGGGAGGTGCCCGATGACCTCTTCCCAAACTGCACGTTTGTCCCCGTGGAGGTAAGATTAACCTCTTTGAGACGGGTTAAATTTACTAACCCTCTACTATTAATTGTTACTTTTAATTACTTAATTAATTAACCCTTTAACTACTTGTATTAGGTGCCCGCCCCGTCCGATGTTAGTCAGTGTTTCAAGAAGCTGATGCGAGCCTGCGCCCCGAGTAACAGTAACTCCGGCTACCTCGCTGCTGTTGAGGAGAGTGGTGAGTGGTGAAGGGGTTAAATTGTTTAAGTGTCATGGGAGTTTTTAATTTACTGAATCAGTGACAGGGGTTTAAATCAGTTTCATTGTTAATGGTGTTAAATAATGATGCTCAGTGTTCCGGGGGTTAAATTATTCTCAGTGTTCAGGGGGTTAATTAAACTTTCTGTGGTGAGAGTGTTAAATCTTCGTCAGTATTATAGGCAAGCAAAGTGAGCCTACCTGTAGTCGCCTGAATACGGGATTTATTTGATGCCCTCTGCACGTACCGTAATGTTTCACGCATGAAACCCTTTGGATGCCATGGGCATCTGCTTAAATAAGCAGAAATTGATGTATAAAGTATTAGCGCCTAGTATTGTAACCTCTATATTATGTAAGAGATAATGTGCTTTTAGAGTTCTATACGTGATTTATGGGAACGAGGGGTGTGGTCGAGACACAACCCGAGTTCCCATAAGTCATGTATAGAACGATAGGACGCACATTATGTGTTTTATTGTGACTTTGTAGCAGTCGTCGACCTCCAGCGAGAGAAATACGACTTGCGTAGCCTACCCACGTGCGCACTCGCTGGCTTCTCGAGCGAGTTCTCTGTTCTCGAGGCTACCGTAATCGAACAAGGTCGTGATGGTGGCTCTTTCTCCCTCAGAGAAACTCTCTTTTCATGGGTCGCTGGGCCGTTTGACCGGTCGGTGTGCCGCGGCCGCGGTCTCGCTTGCCACTGGGAGCTGAATCAAGGGGTGTGGTCGCCTCAGCCATCCCTCGCCTCTACAGCCTCTACAGGTCTACACTATGAGTACGATACTGATGCTAGTTCTTTTATTGAACGTTCAATATTGGTCATATTGAACGCGTCTACAATACGGGAAATAAGAGTACGCGCGGCAGCTTTGATCCGCCCACGCAAGTCACAATGAAAATTCTTATGGACTTATGGAGCTGAGTTGGTTAAAAAAAAAGTTAAGTTTAAATGTTGTTCTCAATATTGCGGAAAAAAATGTACTTGCCTTAATTGTGTTTAATTGGCCCAGGGTGGATGACGCAGCTGAGTACAGTTCTGGAGATGTCGGTTGCAGTGGCCGACCTCATCCACAATCAGGAGTCTTCTGTGATGGTGTGTCTGGAGAACGGCTGGGACGCCACAGCCCAGGTGAGGAAGATGATGACGTGTTTCTCTTTCGTCTTGTTTTCGTGATTTCCGCTCTCTTTTCCGTGTGCTTCTCTTTCCTCTGGTATATATTTATGTATGATTTCCGCCTGCCTCTCCACAGGTCGTCAGCTTGGCCCAAATCCTATTGGATCCTTACTACAGAACAATAGAAGGGTTTCAGGCTCTGGTGGAGAAAGATTGGCTCTCGTTCGGTCACCGATTCTCGCAGAACGGAAATCACACGATATCGTCTAACGTCTCAGGATTCACACCCATTTTTCTGCAGTTTCTCGATCTCGTTCATCAGGTTTGATTCAGAAAACGCTGTAGATACTAAAAATAGAATGTAGGTTAACTAGTGCATTAATAGAATGTAGGTTAACTAGCCCATTTATACTAAAAATAGAATGTAGGTTAACTGGTGCATTGATACTAAAATAGAATGTAGGTTAACTGGTGCATTGATACTAAAAATAGAATGTAGGTTAACTGGTGCATTGACACTAAAAATAGAATGTAGGCTAACTGGTGCATTGATACTAAAAATAGAATGTAGGTTAACTGGCACATTAATACTAAAAATAAGACGTAAGCATTGATACTAAAAGTAAAATGTAGGTTAACTAGTGCATTTATTTAGGAAGCAGCTTGACTTAAAAAAGAAAATGGCTAAATTTAGAATAAGGTATATACAGTTCTTTTTCTATTTTTAGGGGAAGTGTATTTATATACCACCACAGTATTAACAGTGTAGCACTTATACTGTCGGTGATTATTATTCTATTCACAGTTATAAGATGCTCAAAATTTTAGGACCTATATATAGCTTATTCTAATCTCTCGTTTCCTCTTTCTTGTCGCAGGTCTTTCATCAATTCCCACTTTCTTTCGAATTTTCTGATTTTTACTTGCGAATGATGGCCTACCACCACTCGTCAATGAGGTTTCATACGTTCACTCTCAACAACGAGAAGGAAAGATACGCAAACAACTGGTGAGACAAACAAACAAACAAACATATGTACAAACGGACAACTGGTGAGACAAACAAACATACAAACAAACAACTGGTGAGACAAACAAACAAACAAACAACTGGTGAGACATACATACAAACAAACAACTGGTGAGACAAACAAACATACAAACAACTGGTGAGACAAACAAACAAACAAACAACTGGTGAGACATACATACAAACAAACAACTGGTGAGAGAAACAAACAACTGGTGAGACAAACAAACATACATACAAACAAACAACTGGTGAGAGAAACAAACATACAAACAAACAACTGATGAGACAAACAAACAAACAAACAAACAACTGGTGAGACATACATACAAACAAACAACTGGTGAGAGAAACAAACAACTGGTGAGACAAACAAACATACATACAAACAAACAACTGGTGAGAGAAACAAACATACAAACAAACAACTGGTGAGACAAACAAACATACAAACAAACAACTGGTGAGACAAACAACATACATACAAACAACTGGTGAGACAAACAAACATACAAACAAACACACGTGCAAACAAACAGACGAACAGCTAAACACGCAAACACAGGGAGGTGGGAGAAAAGAGGGAAGGGGGAAGTTGTGATTTTTTACCTGCTATTATTCTTTACTTTTTGCAAAAGTTCGTCCCTTAATTATCTTTGTTTATTCTTCTTTCCAGGTTGCAATATCGACCTCGGCATGCCAACGTGCACGGGTCGTCGTGTCAGACGGAGCCATATGTGGCCTATTGGAGTCACCTGTACTCCCTCCACTCCGAACTGACAATACTCTACAACTTCAAATACAAGCCAGACGCAAACACCGTTAGTATAGAACTGCTTTCAGTGATGAATCTTGCATTTCATATGTACGTACGTTAGAGGGCTAAATTTAGAAACTGTTGCTGAAAGTAGAAAACTACGTGATAGCATTCCTGCACTCACTGAGTCCTATTGAAACATCTCTACATTATGAACTGACTCGTTACGATTTGCGAGTGCCCGATCATCCCTTCCCCTCTCTCCAGGGTCCCCTGTTTCCACACTCGTATCAAGCCAACCTCGAGCTCTGGTCCTTCTACCTCGCCAACAGTCTCTCCCAGTTCTCCCCTTATGACACCGAGTTCCTCTCAGAAGGAGACCTAACTCCAGTCGATCTACACTACAACCTCTTTGAGAAGGAAAAATCGCTTACCGGAGGGCAGAAAGGGGCCGGGTTTTCGGGGGTTGACTTGGTAACGGGGCTGAGTGGGATCGGGACTCTGCTGTTGGAGTATACTGGTTAGTTCGTTAGGGAGGGAGGGAGGGATGTTTTTGATTTTGCTGTGCTTTCCCATTTTCTGTTATATTATGGTGACACTTTTAACTGTTTGAAATTGGCAGAGCAACCGTTTACTTGCTTGTACAATGCTAACCAAGGAACAGCATTTTGAAGGAAACCGATAATGCATTCCTGTTTCCAATAATAATCTTCACTTTCTATATACAGTAACTCCAAAACAGAACAACATTTAATGTTGTTGTAAAAATGTAGATATCGATAGCCCATAGGGACTTGTCTTACTTTTTTTTGTTCTCAGTTCTTCATCTTACCTCTCTCCCTCTTCCCTTACCATAATCCCTCCGTCCTCCTCTACAGCTCTTATAAACCTGCACGGGCAGAAGAAGGGGCTGCCGTCGGCAACCTGGAGGGAGCTCTGGGAGGAACTGCAAGACTCGGTCGGAAAATCAGCATCTCCTATCCTTCCAGTAAAACTATCATTACACACACACACACACACACACACTTTTCTCTCTGTGTTAATTATTAATGCTTGCACTGTTTTATAAAAAAAAAAGATGAAATTGTGATCCGTTTAGGTTTTAAACACACATCTTGCAATTGCAAGTTTTAAGTTAGAGGATAAATTTTCCAATGTACATAAAAAAAATTTAAACAGCCAAACATTTGTTGTATAAGAGATTGTTTTGTTCTCTACTTGCTCTCCTGCAGGTGCAACCATGTGACCGGTTGATGCTGTCTCACGGACAGGCACTGCACAAACGAACAACAATGGCCGTTTTGATCAAGGTTTGTTTGTCAGGGCCATTTCGGGGGGTAACTGAAGATTAAAAATGTCTTCAATTCACATTAGGGAAAGCTGGCTGTTGAACTGGAGGACCAGATGACGTATCCTCATAACTTTGTATCGGTCTCTCTTACTGGGCAACACGAGTGCGAATTCTGCAAACACTCAGTCACATCTAAACAAGGCAAGTCAAATGTAAACTGTAACGCGGCACTTTTTTCTGAGCTCATATTGATTAAAGGAACTGTGAGTGACGGGATCATTGGTAATGGGTAGTGGCTATATCCTTTGATTGATGCTGACATATAGATCAAATTTAGTCAAAACTGTAGGCAAAGAACTAAGCATAACTCCATACAAGAGATTTGCATTAAAATTGTACCAAATATCTTTCAGTATTCGTTGAAACTCGTTTTTTTTTCTCACAGCATACAAGTGCAGCAGTTGTGGAAGCGTTTGTCACGAACACTGCAAGTCCAAAGTTCCCTTCAACTGTGGTCACAAACACGACATCGCTCAGAAGAAAAAGGTCCATAAAGAGGCTTCTGTTTATCACTGATGAGACTATTACCTATTCTTTGGATGATACTTGGCTCTTATCTGGACACCAAGCGACATAAGAACTGTGTCCACATAATTATTAGTGAGGTGTCCTTATTTCAGTGGTTGCAAAAACTGTGTACATTTGGGAGCGGAAAGGTTAGAGAGGTGTCCTCATTTCAGGGGTGTCCTTAGAGAGGGATTCCACTGTATTCATCAAAACACTACACTTTCAATCACACTCTAATTCATAATACCAAGCTCAAGCTGAAACAATGTTGTAACGGTCTCATTCTTCTTTGACTATAATAATATCGCAGAAGACCCCAGCGTTTCCGGAGCGAGCTGTATGGCTTCACCGCACGCCGTCTTCGGGACCCCACGCAGGGATGGGCGGAGTATCGAGCCCCCAGCTGGATGCAGCTACAATGGACGGAGTTCTGCTGAAGAGAGGGAAAATAGTGAAGAGCTGGAAGTGGCGCTACTTTATCCTTAATCCAGAAAAGAAAGAGGTGACAAAAAAGAGAGTAGTTGAAAGAAGTAATTTTACTGTGCCATTAATAATAGCGAAATTCTCAATCTGTATTTTTACCAAGCTAATAAAGTAAACAACAATGATGCTTCAAGGCAAGCAAATGACACAATCTTTCTCACCTAAATTTGCTAGTCAAGTGTTGAATAATAACCTGTACCATAATATTACATCTTGTCTAAGCAGTCGTTATCATGGTAGTTAAAAATGATTTTGTGTCATTGACTATTATAATTATTTGTCGTCTCGTTCAGTTGTGCTATTACGACTCCAAGAAGAAGGAAAAGTGTCACGGAGTCATCACTCTTACAGACGAGGACAGCGTAGAACAAGGTGACCCTCAGATTGTACCCGGATTGAAGCCCAACGAAAACGGATACTTTTTCAATGTGAGCTCACTTTTTAGCAATTATACAAAAATAGATGCAGAATTGTGTTAATATATGCATGGACAGAAAAGTTAATTAATACTAAGCTACAGATGACGTAACATCTGTGCCACAAAACCTGCATTATTATTATTTTTCCAATGTATGTATATGTGATTTCTTATTGTGTGATGTTGTAGTTAGTGGATTCTTGTTGTATTATAATACATGTGAACTGCAGGTGCCATCAAAAACAACACAAACTTCTTTCTATATAAGATTTCATACTTGGGGGATTTAAAACAGTATGTGTATTGGTACAGCAGAAGACACTGAACAGTCTTTTTCCATATCCCCTCTTTTTTACCCCATTGCAGCTCATTACATCCAAGAGAACTTATTACCTAATGGCAAAATCTAACAATGAGCGTGCAGAATGGATGGTTAGGATTAAAAATGCACTACCCATTACAACTGTGTGAAATCACTAATCACTAGACAAGTATTGTGTTTTTTGTGCCTCAGTTTTTTTTATTATGTTTTTCACACTTGATTGTGACATGCGTATGAAAATTTCTGCACTCAATTCAACTGCCATTATAACACACTTTGTAGAACTACAAAATTTATATAGACATAATGTACAAATCAAAGAGTTTCTACTGCTCTAAAGTTTCATGAATCTGCAATAATGCCTAGCTAAAACTACATTTCTATTATCTACAACATTGTTCTTTGTCCACTTGTTTTGTTTTCTGTATAACTTCACCGTCATGTTGGGCGATAGCGACGTCGTACCCAGCGGTACCGGTAAGGACGATACGGACGTATAGATCTATGTACCGTGCGATACTGGCGAGGACGACGACGACGATGGCGACGATTACGCAGACGACGCTGACGACGCCGAAGACGACGCAGACGGCGACGGCGACGACGACGACGACGCCGATTTCTTCGTTTCAGCGCATGTTTCAACACTTTGGATCCTACTCCAACCGCAAGTGATCCAAATATTTGCTCACTAGCAGGGGCATTCTCGTCTGATTTTATGATCGGGAAGTTTTGCACAACCACAGGCTCTTCATCTTCCTGTTGTGCGAGAGACAACGCATCGTCTTCTTCCTGTCGTATTGATTGCGAGTTGACTCCGCCGTCGTCATCATCATCGTCCTGCATGTACTGTGCATCTTCCTGCGGCAGGGATTCCAGATAGGCGTCGTCGCCGTCCAGAAACGCATCGTCATCCTGCGGCAAAGATTCTAGAGAGGCATCTTGAGGTTGCTGTCGGTTCATATAGTAGTCCAAACCCTTTCCCAACCACGGCTGCGCGCGGTTAAACCACCGTCCCCATCGACCACCGCGACGGCGCCTTCTTCCGCCCCATCTACGAGGGCGACGGCGCCTTCTTCCGCCCCTGTGCCATCTACGGCTTCGGCGGCGCCAACCCCGGCGACCGCGCTTTTGCGCGCTCACTGGAGCATCTGTTTGTTGTGCAATCGGGGAATCGTCCAACTCTGATAGTTTCGCCGGCTCTTCGTCTTCCTGTTGCACGAGCACGTTATCATCATCACCATCATCGTCCTGCATGTATTGAGCATCTTTCTCCGGCAGGGATTCTAGATAGGAGTCGCCGTCTCCGTCGTCTTGCGCTAGAAATGCATCGTCATCCTGCGGCAGGGATTCCAGATAGGCGTCGTCGTCTCCGTCGTCTTGCGCTAGAAACGCATCGTCATCCTGCGGTATGGATTGTAGAATTCGAAGATAACGCCTATCGTCCATAGGTTCAAAATTGGGTGACTGGATGTAGGAGTCTGACTGCGTCTCCTCACGGTAGGCTCCGTCAGCGCTGCAGACCGCGAGAAAGGCGACTGCGAGGCACAGCGCGACTTTCATCATGGTGACGAGAGCCGACCGGCCACTTGCTTCTGTTTTCCTGGAATCAAAAAGAGTATAGAAAACTGTTATGCAAAAATTATGCTAGCAGGTTCCGCATAATCAGTTACCTCACGTAGCTGCCCTTTGGCTATATATGGCTATAGCAGGGATTAGCTGTTATCAAGATTTGCAGTGTTCTTTTTATACTGAGCGATGCTGATCCTGCGGCAGATGTGTGCGTCGTAACATGTTTCAATTCCCAGTTAACAAAAATAGCTACCGCCAGATGTGCCTCCCACACTACGATAGTTTGCACTTGATTGAAGTTGTTAGTCTTCCTTCATTATGTTTAATGTTTATAGATATGGATGATTATAACACATGGAAATCGACTTGTTGCTAACTGATTTGTTGCTAAATGATTTTGAAAGTAACCACTACCAGATATTTCCTTGTTTAGTTATGGGCTGTAAAACTCGACGGCAGAACTTCCTTCATAACTGAGAGAAATCAATATGCAGCCCTATTGAAGTCCTGTTATACTCTATGTAAGCTGTTTGTTTTCATGTAATTATACACTCTTCATTTCTACTTTAGTCTGTGCAAATAAAGCGTGCGCTATGTGCCGTATATTCATGGCAGCCCATTAGCATGTTCTTGAACGTCATTCTAAATACGCGCAACAATGCTTGCTCTCACTCGCTCTAAAATGCGTTGCATCTAACAGGTATAATTATACGTCGAGTGAGCCTACTTAGTCATCCGAATTTTTCTGTAAGTGAGTGACAGGCACTTCGTAATGTCGTGACGCACGAAAAACTGAACGTCAACATGCACAAATCTCGCGCTCGCTCGCCAAAACTGCATGCATTCGACAATCTCAATGACAAATTACCAGCATGAATGATTATAGCCAAAATCTCTCCCCCGGTTTGATGATCCACATCAGCCGATGACATTTTTAGTTTACCCTCTAGCTACCTACCCCCCAGTCCATGGATGGCTTCCCGTCAGTAGGTGCCATGGTAACGAGGGCCGACCGGCCGCTTGCTTCTGTTTTCCTAGAAATCTGTTATGCACAAATTGTTACTATTATTCTAGCAAGTTTCGCGTAATCAGCTTACCTCACGTAGCTGCCCTTACTATATTGGCCATAATTACAACAGAGATTAGCTGTTATCAAGATTTGTCACTGTTCTTTTATACTTGAGGTGCTGATCATGCGGCAGATGTGTGCATTGTAACACACAGTTTGTGTTTCAATTCCTAGTTGACAAAAATAGCTACCGCCAGATGTGCCTCCGCGCTACGATAGTTTGCACTTGATTGAAGTTGTTAAGTCTTCCTTCATCTTGTTTGTTTATAAATATGCATGATTATAACGCATGGAAATGCAACTGATTTGTTGCTAAATGATTTTGAAAGTAACCACTACCAGATGTTTCCTTGTTTCATTATGGGCTGTATAGCTAACTTGAGGGCAGATCTTCCTTCATAACGGAGAGAAATCGAAATGCACGCTATTGAAGTCCTGTATGTCATTCTAAATACGCGCGACAATGCTCCCTGTAGCTTGCTCTTACAAATTTTAATTGTCACCATTATTCATTCAAACACCTTTTTTATAATAATGTTGCTGGAGTATGCATGGATACACTAAATAGCAGAGCTAATACATAAAGAGAGGTGATATCAATTAATGTTTGAACATAAAATAGATCTTGAGAAGTTACTGCTTCATGTGGCAAGTTGTTCCATAGCCTGATTGTATTGGCAAAAAAAGAAAATTGAAGGCCATTGAGATGAGCTTGAGGAACCCTGTAAGCGCATAGGGGTTGTAGTTAACCCTCGGCGCGCATGCAGCGAGGGTTACAGTACTTGGTTTGTAAGTGTGTCCGTCTGTCTGTCTGTTACCACGTTTTCTGCGACTACGTGCAACGAGACAACAAAACAGCGATACCAACGGGTTCATCGCTACATTGGCTTCATGTTAAAAAAGGCGATTTTTGTATAACTACTGCGTTCAAAAGTTATGGCGTGCAGCTACAATGGACGGAGTTCTCCTGAAGAGAGGGAAAATCGTTAAGAGTTGGAAGCCGCGTTACTTTGTCCTTAATCCAGAAAAGAAAGAGGTGGCGACTCCGAGAAGAGGGAAAAGTGTCATGGAGTCATCACTCTTACAGACGAGGACAGCGTAGAACAAGGTGACCCTCAGATTGTACCCGCATTGAAGCCCAACGAAAACGGATACTTTTTCAATGTGAGCTCACTTTTTAGCAATTATACAAAAATTGATGCAGAATTGTGTTAATATATGCATGGACAGAAAAGTTAATACTAAGCTACAGATGACATAACATCTGTGCCACAAAACCTGCATTATTATTATTTTTCCAATGTATGCACATGTGATTTCTTACTGTGTGATGTTGTAGTTAGTGGATTCTTGTTGTATTATAATACATGTGAACTGCAGGTGCCATCAAAAACAACACAAACTTCTTTCTATATAAGATTTCATACTTGGGGGATTTAAAACAGTATGTGTATTGGTACAGCAGAAGACACTGAACAGTCTTTTTCCATATCCCCTCTTTTTTACCCCATTGCAGCTCCTTACATCCAAGAGAACTTATTACCTAATGGCAAAATCTAACAATGAGCATGCAGAATGGATGGTTAGGATTAAAAATGCACTACCATTACAACTGTGTGAAATGAAAGTGCAAACCCTCGGCGAACTGCGCATGCGCGATACTGCTAATTGTGGGCTGGGCTATTTACTATAGCGTATACTCATGGTCTCCCGCTAGTAAACCGCGGAGAATCTGACACGGGCTAGCTACAGTGGTACATAGCATGCGGGAGTCGATACTTGCCATTCTTCGTGACTTCCTGAGCCCCCAAGGTACATAGAGCTAGCGGATCAGGTCGCGGTAAGCTCAGTGCGATTATGCATATTGGCTTTTTCGCTTGTTTTCACGGCATATCTCTCGAACGCAGTCGTTTCAGCAAAATCGCCCTTTTATTTTTCAAGCTCGCGTAGTTCTGAAGCCGCTGGTATCGCTAATGGGCCACCTCGTAGCCTGTAGTGCCAGAATAAGCGTCGGCACGCACGCACACACACACACACACACACAGACAGACAGACAAACCAACTACCGTAGCCCTCGCTGCGCATGCGCGCCGAGGGTTATCACTAATCACTAGACAAGTATTGTGTCTTTGTGCCTCAGTTTTTTAATTATGTTTTTCACTTGATTGTGACATGCATATGAAAATTAATTTCTGCACTCAATTCAACTGCCGATATAACACACTTTATAGAACTACAAAATTTATATAATACAAATCAAAGAGTTTCTACTGCTCTAAAGTTTCATGACTCTACAATAATGCCCAACTCAACTACATTTCTATATCTACAACATTGTTCTTTGTCCACTTGTTTTGTTTGCTGTATAACTTCACCGTCATGTTGGGCGGCAGTAGCGACGTCGTACCCAGCGGTAAGTACGGTAGCGACGTCGTACCCTCACCCAGCGATATGCGTAGTACGGTTGTCGTACCGTGCGATACATACGGTAGCGACGTCGTACGCGTACCCAGCAATACGTATTGTACGGACGTCGCACCCTGCGATAAGTGCAGTGCCGGTGACGTCGGCAGCGATGACGACGACGGCGGCGACGGCGACGATTTCTTCGTCGCCGAACCCTGCGCCTACCCCGACGCCGAATTCGGCGCTTCAGCCCACGTTTAGCCCCACGTTTCAGTCCACGTTTAGCCCCACGTTTCAGTCCACGTTTCAGTCCATGTTTCAGCCCACGTTTCAGCGCAGGTTTCAACACTAATCTGGATCCCATTCGAAGCAAACTTCCAAATATTTGCTCACTAGCAGGGGCATTCTCGTCTGATTTTACGATCGGGAAGTTTTGCATTGTGGAGGTAGCAGAAGACTCAACCGGCTCTTCATTATCATCTTGCATCAGCGAAACTGGATATGGTACCATTATTTCCTGAATATAGGATTTTACTCCACCCCTGCACCAGCACCGTATCAATTTTCGGCGGCTTTGGCCTCGTTTCTTTCCCCCTCGGCCCCGTTTCTTTCCACCCTTGCCTCGTTTCTTTCCACCCTTGCCTCGTTTCTTTCCACCCTTGCCCCGTTTCTTTCCACCCTTGCCCCGTTTCTTGCCCCGTTTCTTGCCCGTTTCTTGCCCCTTTTCTTGCCCCGCTTTCGACCACGGCCGCGCTTCCGGCCTCGACCCCGCTTTCCACGCTTCTGCGCGCGTACTGGAATACCTTCTTCATCGTCCACCTCAGACTCCGCAATCGGGGAATAGTCAAGCTCAGATAATTCCGATGAAATCACCGGCTCTTCGTCTTCTTGTTGCACCAGCGACACTGAGGGTTCCGCTTTTTCCTGGACGTAGGTTTTAAGTCCGCCCTCGCACCAACATTTCATCCATTTTCGGCCCCGTTTCTTTCGCCCCCGGCCTCGTGATTTTCGGCCCCGGCGCCGCTTTCGACCTCGGCGCCGGCGTCTTCTCCGGCCTCGGCGACGGCGCTTTCGGCCCCGCCTCCTGCGTCCTTTTCGTCGTCTGAACGGCCAACGCCATTGCGAGCGTGCCGGAGCACCGCCGACCTCAGACTGTGCGATCGGGGAATCGTCCAACTCTGATAGTTCGGAAGAAACCACAGGCTCTTCATCTTCCTGTTGTGCGAGAGACAACGCATCGTCTTCTTCCTGTCGTTTTTGTCGTATTGATTGCGAGTTGACTCCGCCGTCGTCATCATCATCGTCCTGCATGTACTGAGCATCTTCCTGCGGCAGGGAATCCAGATAGGCGTCGTCGCCGTCGTCTTGCGCTAGAAACGCATCGTCATCCTGCGGCAGGGACTCTAGATAGGAGTCGCCGTCGCCGTCGTCTTGCGCTAGAAACGCATCCTCCTCCTGCGGTAGGGAATCTAGAAAGGCGTTATCTTCGAATTCGAAATCGTCCTGTGGCTGGGACTCAAAGAAGGCATCGTCTGGTTCGTCTTGCTGTTGAGATTTCACAAAGGCACTTTTCTCATTTGAATCGTCGCCTTGCGGCAGATATTGTAGAAATGCGTTGTCTTCATCGTCGTCCTGCGGTAAGGATTGTAGAAAGCTATTGTCTTCACTACCGAAATCGCCCTGTGGTTGGTACTCGAAGAAGGCATCTTCGGGATCGTCATCCTGCGGTTGAGAATCTAAAAAGGCATCGTCTTCGGGATCTTGGTCCTGCGGTGTTGATTGTAGAAAAGCATCGTCGTCTTGAGGTTTCGATTTCAGAAAAGCATCGAAATCGCCTTGCGGCAGTGACGCGGCATCAGATTTGTTTTCATCCAGAACTTCGGACTCTACGTAGGCGTTGTCATCGGGATTGAAATCGTCCTCCGGTTTTGATTCTAAAAAGGCATTTTCTTCGGGATCCCAGTTGTTCTCATTCTGTAGTGCGGATTTTAGGAAGGCGATATTGTTATCCTGCGGTTTGGATTCCAGAAATGCATCGTCCATGGGTTCAAACGTGTCCTCCTGCGGTGTATCGGATTGTAGAAAGGCACCGAAGTCGAAATTTTCGTCCTGCGGTAGAGATTCATCGTCTCCCGCGGGACCATCCTTCGGTTGGGACTGCGACAATACGCCGTCTATTGCGGGATCGTACGCCCCCGAAACGGAGACATCCGCAGCATTATATTTCTGCTGCGCGAAGGACTTTTGTTCTGGAGGAGGAATGTATTCTTCTTCGGGTGACTGGAAGTAGGAGTCTGACTGCGTCTCCTCACGGTAGGCTCCGTCAGCGCTGCAGACCGCGAGAAAGGCGACTGCGAGGCACAGCGCGACTTTCATCATAGTGACGAGAGCCGACGGCCGCTTGCTTCTGTTTTCCTATAAGAGTATAATTATACAGAACTCTTTTATGTTATATACTATTATGCTAGCAAGTTTCGCGTAATCAGCTTACCTCACGTAGCTGCCCTTTGGCTATAGCTATAGCAGGGATTAGCTGTTATCAAGATTTGCAGTGCTTTTATACTTAGCGGTGCTGATCATGCGGCAGATGTGTACATTGTAACACGCAGTTTGTGTTTCAATTCCTAGTTGAAAAAAATAGCTACCGCCAGATGCGCCTCCGCGCTACGATAGTTTGCACTTGATTGAAGTTGTTAGTCTTCCTTCATCTTGTTTAGATAGCTACGCATGATTATAACGCGTGGAAATGTAACTGTTTGTTGCTAAATGATTTTGAAAGTAACCACTACCAGATGTTTCCTTGTTTCATTATGGGTTGTATAACTTGACGGCAGATTCCTTCATAGAGAAATCGAAGTCAACAAAATAGCTACCGCCAGATGCGTTTCCGCGCTACGATAGTTTGCACTTGATTGAGATTGTTAGTCTTCCTTCATCTTGTTTATTGCTTATAGATAGCTACGCATGATTATAACGCATGGAAATTGCAACTGATTTGTTGCTAAATGATTTTGAAAGTAACCACTACCAGATGTTTCCTTGTTTCATTATAACTTGAGGGCAGATCTTCCTTCATAACGGAGAGAAATCAAAATGCAGCCTTATTTAAGTACTCTGTTTAGTTTTCATGTACACTATACATTCATTTCTACTTTAGTCCGTGCAAATAAAGCGTGCGCTATGTGCCGTATAAGCTTATTCATGGTAGCCAATTGGCTTGTTCTTGAACGTCATTCTAAATAATGCTCACTCTCGCTCGCTCTAAAATGCGTTATATCTAACAGGTATGTAGCCTTCTTAGTCATTTGAATTTTTCTGTGAGTGAGTGACAGGCAGTGTAATGTCACGAAAAACTGAACGTCAATACACGTGAATCTCGCGCTCGCTCGCGTGCATTCGACATTCTCAATGACAAATTAGCTACCAGCATGAATGCTATAGCCATACCTCTCCCCCGGTTTGATAGTACACATCAGCCGATGACATTTTTAGTTTACCCTCTATCCATGGATGGCTTCCCGTCAGTATTATAGGGGAACCAAATAATTACTTGACCACCAGATAGCTACTCACTTACGCTTTTAGCTATAATACTCTGCTGTGCTCATCCTTGGGGAGATGCAGTTCTCAATTATAACTACACGCAGTTTGTGTTTCAATTCCTATAGTTAACTAAAATTGCTACCGCCAGATGTGCCTCCCACGCTACAATAGTTTTTCACTTGATTGAAGTTGTTAGTCTTCCTTCATCTTGTTTAGATGTGATTACGCGGAAATAATTATTATAATTACAACTGATTTGTTTGATTTGAAAGTAACCAGTACCAGACATTTCCTAGAACTAGGACTTTGACGGCCGAGTATTAGCTCGCCTTCATGCTTTTATTAGAAAAACGGCCACCCTGTAGCTCGCTCTTACATGTCCATACAATTTTCACCATCATCACTCAAACACATCTATAGATAGCTCTAGCTAGCACTATGTACAAATCCACACTTCAAGATTCTAAAAAAATGTTCAACTACAACTGTTATCTAGTGTGGTCCATTTGTTCCAATAGCGCCTGTTGGTGCGCTTTCACGATGATGTTCTTGGACGACAGATGCGACGTCGGACCCAGCGATATCTACGGCACTTACGTCGTACATTCACAAAGCGATATACGTAGTACGGTTTTCGTACTGTACGATATTTGACGTAACGACGTCGAACCTTTACCGTGCGATATACGTAGTAAGGCTGTCGTACCCTGCGCCAATAACAGTACGGTCGACGTCCGCAGCCGGCCATGTGTACGGAAGCAGCGTCTGCATCTTTCAGCTCTGACGAAACGGCCGGTTCTTCGTCTTCCTGTTGCACGAGCGCGTTATCATCATCATCTTCGTCCTGCATGTACTGAGCATCTTCCTGCGGCAGGGAATACAGATAGGCGTCGTCGCCGTCGTCTTGCGCCAGAAAGGCGTCGTCATCCTGCGGCAGGGAATCCATATAGGCGTCGTCGCGGTCATCTTGCGCTAGAAAGGCGTCGTCATCCTGCGGCAAAGATTCTAGAGAAGCATCGGAATCGTCCTGTGGCACGGATTCGATGTATGGGTAATCATCATTTTGAGGTTGCTGGCGGTTCATGTAGTATTTCAAACCCATTCTCAACCACGGCTGGGCGCGGTCAAACCACCGTCCCCCTCGACCACCGCGACCACCGCGACCGCCCCGTCTTCGGCGGCGACGGCGCCTTCTTCCGCCCCGGCGCCTTTTACGGCTTCGGCGCCTTTTTCCGCCCCGGCGCCTTTTACGGCTTCGGCGCCTTCTTCCGCCCCGGCGCCTTTTACGGCTTCGGCGGCCCCAACGTTGCGCGCTTACTGGAGCATCAGACTCATCTTGCTGTGCAATCGGGGAATCGTCCAACTCTGATAGTTCCGCCGGCTCTTCGTCTTCCTGTTGCACGAGCGCGTTGTCATCATCACCCTCATCGTCCTGCATGTACTGAGCATCTTTCTCAGGCAGGGATTCTAGATAGGCGTCGTCGTCGCTGTCTTCTTGCGCCAGAAACGCATCGTCATCCTGCGGCAGGGATTCTAGATAAGAGTCGCCGTCGTCGTCGTCTTGCGCCAGAAACGCATCGTCCTCCTGCGGCAAAGATTTTAGAAAGGCGTTATCTTCGGACTCGACATTCTCCTGTGGTTTCCACTCGAATAAGGCATCGTCCGGCTCGTCCTGCTGTTGAAAGGCATCGTAATCGTTCTGCGGCAGTGATTCTTGATAGGCATCGTGGTCCGGAGATATAAATTCAGCTCCATAGGCGCTATAGACCACCGCGATGCAGGCGACCGCGAGGCACAGCGCGACTTTCATCATGAGGACTAGAGCCCACTGCCCGTTGCTTCTTTCCTGGAATGCACTGTGAAAAAAAGAGCGTCACGTGGCCGTTATGCTATCGCACGATCGGCTTTGTAACTTACAGAAGATATTTCCTTGGTAGTTTCCAGGCGAATTATCAGAAGCTGCGGTGGTCCTTTATAGCTAGCTAGCGCTATCCGCTTGCGTCTAATGCTCCGATAACACGCGACGCTTGTGTTTCGATTCCTACAGGCTAATCTAAATTATCACCAGATGCATGTTTCCTTGTTGTTAGTCTTCCTTCATGTTGACACATGGAAATTATTAAAGCATCCAATGCCGAATGATTTCCTGCTTATCTGTAGTTGTGGTGTTGGTTACACAACATTATGAAAGTAACCACTACCAGAAGGTTCCGTTCATTGTGTAGTAGCTAATGATGGATGTTTACCCTGGCTTTTATTGCATGTGTTAGCTACCAGAGTGCGTAAACCTCACCAGAAGGAACTTCAACCCTCTCTCTACACAACCATCAATGTACTAGCTAGGAGCACTTCACTATAATTATATACTCGTTACATAACTCTGATTGACAAAGAAATTTACTATAAACCCTTTATGGAGACAATCGCCTGTGCATTATTAGCGACCAACAACTTAGGAGATGGACATGTGCTTTAGTCTCGTTCCCAGACCCTGCACGTATATTATTATACATGCTCCCGCGCGCGCGAAGGTCTGGGCATCACGAGACTACACTGCGCACGCGCGTACACGTAAGAGGCGCCAGAGAGGCAGGCTAGGCAGGCTAGGCAGGCTAGGCCGGCCGGCACCACGCACCTACTCCACTCCCCGTGCGCATGGGGGCGTGGAAAAATGGCGAAGACGACTATCTAGAACTGTGTTGTATAAACGACGATAGTTCGATACAACACGCTCCAGCGAGTAACGAAATCAAGAGCCAATCTTTATGCTCACCCGTGGACGAGTTTTCACCACTCTTCTCTCTCCACTCTGCGTGTTAACGTGTCTCACTCCTTCGCCGTTCTCACAGAAGACGACTCTTACAGCCATGGCCTGGCGCTCCCACGGCCAATCTAACGATGATTTAGTCGACAACCTGAAGGCGAACGGGATCGTCACTTCTGCTCGCGTGGAAGCCGCCATGAAAGCCGTGGATCGCGGTAATTTCTGCGCCTACAATCCCTACATGGACTCGCCTCAAAGTATCGGGCACCAGGCGACCATCAGCGCCCCGCACATGCACGCATACGCCCTCGAACTGCTCCGCGACCATCTCCCCGAAGGTGGAACGGTGTTGGACGTCGGCTCGGGCAGCGGCTACCTCACGGCTTGCTTCGCGCACATGGTCGGTCCGACCGGTTGCGCGGTGGGCATAGAACACATTCCAAACCTCACCAAACTCTCCGTTGAGAATTTGAATAAGAGTAGCCCAGAACTTTTGAAAGAAGAGAGGGTGCTTTTGGTGACAGGAGATGGAAGATTGGGCTACCCGCAAAAGGCGCCCTATGATTGTATTCATGTTGGAGCAGCCGCTGGGTCCGTCCCAAGTGCCCTCCACGACCAGCTGAAACCTGGAGCACGGCTCGTCGTGCCGGTGGGACCCGAGCATGGTGTGCAATATTTGGAACAGCACGACAAGGCACAGGACGGGAGCGTGAAAATCCAGCGGCTAATGGGAGTTCGTTATGTACCACTGTGCGACAAGGAGCACCAGCTGAATTAGACTGCTTATAAAGCTAGTGGTAGCAATTTTTGTAGCAATATTAATTTTTGGAGTGTTTTGTAGTCTAGCTCTAGCTCTGACTGAGCGCGCGCATGCGTATAGTTTTTATTACTGCGCATGTGCATAATGTAACCTTTTGCACCTGTACAAATGGCCGCTGGTTGTCCGTCGCTGTTGTTTTTTCTCCTTCTAGTGACTCCTTCAAGCAATACAGCAAAGGATCATGTGAACCACACAGATAAGCAAACGTGGAAAAATTCGTCGCCAGACAGCTCACGTGAGCTCCAAAAAGATTCTTTGTCGATCCTTTTCATTTCGAGCTTCTTTTCCGGACATATTATTCCACTTCTGGCCGTCGGAGAAGAGCTTGTGATACGGGGGCACAGCGTGTCGTTTCTAACGACAGAGGTGTCCGGATCAAGACTGGTTCCGGACGTCCTGAAAGATATTGGGCTGGAGTTCATCAGCGCAGGCCCGGACCCGCGCACCAGGGTACAATACGAGGAAGCGATATACGGACTAATGGGAAAGCACCTTCTGGAACAAGTACAGGAGATAGCGACTTTTGCAAGAGATCACACTGTAAAACTAAGAATTGCTTGCGATCGGCTCAATTTTTCTCGTTGGGATATAGTCGTAGTGGATTCCCTTCTCTTCAACTTGATTCGCTACATCGACCTGAAGTGGGGGTCGAATGTTGTGCTCAGTACAGCCGTTGCTGCAGACTATGCTAGTATCGAATCACCCTGGCCCTCTCCTTCCACAAATGTCGTCGGCTGCTCGGAAAATTTGTCTTTCTACCGACGACTTTTTAATGCTGTCTTTTTCAAAAATCCGCTAGTGTCTTTTTGGAGAATGCAGTTGATGAAAGAATACACAGCTGGAAATGATGGCGAAATGTTGGATGTCGTTAGTAGCGATCCTCTTTTTCATCATTACCCCGACGAATTCCACCCTTCGTTGGTTTACTCCGCAGTTGGGGTGGAGTATGCACGACCGACTTACCCCGGCGTCCACATGGTCGGGCCGGTCCTACGGAGTAGAATTACTCCACTTCACCCCAATTTAGTCGAGTGGGTTTCCACAAACGCACGTAGCGAAATAGTGTACATCAGCATGGGGACAACTGCACTAGTAACTGAAAAAATGGCGCGAAGGTTTGTCAGCGGTGTACTAACTAAAAACTATGGCGTCATTTGGAGTCTTAGGGAATGTAATCAGGTAGTATTGGAAGGACTCGAAATAGATCCAAAACGCTTCTACGTTGCAAGCTGGGTGTCCCAAGTATCAGTTTTCCGGCAAGAATCGGTAAAGGTGGCAATCTTACACTGTGGTACTGGAGGCGTCCACGAGGCCCTTTACTTTGGAATTCCCGTGGTTTGCATCCCGTTCTGGTTCGACCAGTTCTCGTGGGCCAACATAATTCGTGATCAGGGGCTGGGCCTCGTTTTGTATGCCGAAGACATTTCACCCACGAGAATGTCGCTAAAACACTCGTAGAAATTGAAAAGAACATCTGGTAATAGTAAGCCTTCTTGGTTCAAAAGAGCTTCTCCAACATGCACAGTTGTCATGCTCATAGCCCTGCTCATCGCATCCTCTGCCGTTTTAATATCCTCCGACTTGATCATTGTGCACCTTTAGATAACTGTCAGTACTCAAATTCTGAGTGTGTTTCAATATATGTAATGGGACTTGTAGCATGAAAAACATACTATACTCGGTCATTTTTACCCAGTGTTCCCTCGTAACCTGTTTTTTCTGCCAGGTAGCTACAATCTAATGCTTGTTGGATCAGGGCAAGATCGAGAATTTCGTTGTAGACCTGTACCACAAGTTGGGCAGTGGGTTTGAGTTGGCTTGTGTGCATTATACACCATATGGTAATGATGTTTGCAGAGGGAAGGGGCAGTGTCTAACTGTGACGGAACGCTCTCTCCTGCTAGTTCAAGGCACAGAACAATGTCGGACATGGGGATATTGCATTTGCTGAAAGATTTGTTTCTGCACTTCACTATAATAATCCTCTCCTTTTCCCACCTAGGACAATGACATGGATCTTTCCTAAGACGGGCAATGTCATTACGACAGGGACGACAAACCAAGCTCTGCTCAGTGATGCCCAGTGTTAGGGCCAATTCCCGACAAAATTCATCCCTCCATGACATAGGCGATGATAGATTTGTGTGCACTTGATCGCATAAACTGCATACTGTAGCAGTAGGCTGGCTTACTGGTGGTGTAGTAAACGCCAGCCGTCTTCTACTTGAGCCTCTAGCTTCAGTCATCCACTGTCATCTGTGTTTTTTTTATTTTTATCTTTTTTTATTACTGTCATGAACTCTTTTCAATGATCATTTGGCTTACCCAATCACTGTTATATTGCTCCTAAGCTGTAGATCCCACGTCTGCCTCAATGGTTTCAGCTGTTTTTGCAGGTGGTAATTGATACACGTGGTTTGTGGTCAAAAAAGAAAATTCATATCTTTTAGACGGAGCTCGGGAACAAGCTCTTTTTTTCCAGAAAGACCAGCTACGTCCACCTGAAAAATATTCACGGAGCCAGACGCCTCAGAAAAAATGTTTACGCAGGTTATGCAGAGGCTGTCGATTTTTAGTTGGTCCGCTTTTCCGGTGCGATGCCTA